GAGGTGAGAGGGATAGCGGAAGGCGGAGCCGACTCGAAAATCGGCCGAAAGTTGCATTTTGTGCCAAGCCCTGCAGTATAGTATACGTAACGGGAACTATAGATTTTCAGTACTGGCAGTCAATTGGCAGTAATATACGAACATGGCCTAGGGTGATATTTCATATGTACGTTTCTTTTTGTACGACAAATTTTTCAAGCCTGTTGATTGGCTATAGGACAAAAAGATCCGAGATCCTCTCTGTCTTGCAGCTAATTATGGGCACGGTTAATGCGATGCTACAAATGCTTTAAAGCGTTTTTAATTAGTCAGTTTGTAAAATTTTTTCTTCTAATTGGTCTATCAAACGCTTCAAAGCATTTGTAGCAAATCCTTGATCACAACCTAATGCTGGATTCACACTGCATCGGATGTGCGTCGTACGACGCTCTTCAACCAATCAGAAAACAGAATTCCGATGATATAAAGCAAAATCCATCGGAATCCTGTTTTCTGATTGGTTGCAGAGCGTCGTACAACGCAAATTGGATGCAGTGTGAATACAGCATTGCACGCTTGAAAAATTCATCGTACGATAAAAAATGAACGCATGTAATGTTGATTTTATTTTTGTAACATGGTTTGTATTTTGTAAAGGTTATAATCTCTATAATCTCGTTATGTAATGTGCATTTTCGCATAATAAACTCAAGTTATAAACAATATCAATCAAAATGAACAATAGCCATAGCATAAGACGTTATTGTGAAGTCATATATTTAAAAATATCGTAACAATAATAAAAATTTTCGTAGATGTTTTGGTGAAAATTTGACCATACTCAGTACAATAAATTACAATTTTCGCATGATTAAATTAATATAACATAAATACACTCAATTAAACACCAGACAAACAATAAATATTAAATATCCGCAATTAAAAAGTCGTCATATAAAACACTTGATCAGGTTACAATGTTCAAAAATCGGATAAATGTTTTGAAAAAATCGCATTAAGCCAGTCGTCAATTAAAATTATATCTTGATGATTTACAAATGTTCAATTCACCTGATGTTTATTCCTTCATACTTGAAAAATAAAGTCAATAGAATTGACTTAATTCTGTTGCTGGTCATATGTTTGTCACACATTGTCAAGAATTGTTCTCGCAGTAGATTCTCAAATGGTTTAAAAAATTTTTACAATAAGTCTCAATTAATTACATTAAAGGAACCGTGTGCAGAATACGTGGTAAAAGATAGATTTTTGATCTAATATCGCCTTTCGTTTTAATGAAAATTTGGTATTAATTTCTTCTGTTAATTGTTACTGTTATAAAAATTTATTTAGAATTTGGCAATTACGTTGTTCTCACGGGTTCTCAAAAAGCTTCAAATTTCAAAAATAAAAGGAACACATTTTGAAAGAATAAAAATATAAAACTGACGATTGTAATGTTGGCAATTCTATTGACTTAATTTTTCAAGTATGAAGGAATAAATATCAGATGAATTAAACATTTGTAAATTATCAAGATATAATTTTAAATGAGGACTGGTTTAATGCGATTTTTTCAAAACATTTATCCGATTTTTGAACATTGTAACCTCATCATGTGTTTTATGTGACAACTTTTTAATTGCGGATATTTAATACTTATTGGTTGTCTGGTGTTTAATTGAGTGTATATTTATGTTATATTAATTTAATCATGCGAAAGTCATAATTTATTGTACTGAAGATGGTCAAATTTTGACCGAAACGTCTACGAAAATTTTTATTATTGTTACAATATTTTTAAATATATGACTTCACAATAACATCTTGTGCTGTGGCTATTGCTCATTTTGATTGATATTGTTTTTATTTAAGCCACCTCTAAAATTTAACTCAAGTTATATAAAGTTCAATTAAATAAAGAATGTCTGAATTATTAATTATCAGAAACGCTCATGTTATTTATATTGTTTATTTATATTTTAAATAAACAAATTTTAATTATACTAACTAAATTAAATTAACTTTACTATTTATATTATCTAGCTACAAATATCCAGTGCGTGGTATATGCTTCTTTTATTTACTATTTCGTATCACTTAGGCTAATTTATACGTGACTTCATCATATATAAATTAATGGAAGTAGTACTACTTGGATTTTACATTAGGCCTGTTCTTTTTGGCTGAACTTTTACACCAGTTCATCTTTCTTCCTTTTCTCTCCAGGGGGAAAGAAGAAGAAAGATGAACTGGTGCAAAAGTTCAGCCAAAAAGAACAAGTCTTTTTTTTAGATATCTATATGTACATATATACAACGTGTCTATGCATACAGTACCAAAACTGTTACAGCGGCTTCGGCATATAAAAACAAGTCGAAAATGTCTAATATACATATGTCCAATTCCAAACTCCGATTTCAAAGTTACGGGGTATTAAAGTAAGAAAACATGAATCGTAGTACATGTTTAATATTCGTTGTTCTGAATCCTGAATCTTTTTTCAATAGACTAGGATCGATATTCATAATCAGTTCTTATATCCAAGAACGTCTCAAGTTTTGTCTTGAGTAGTCACGAATCAATCAGAGGGCCACATTAGCGTCTTAAAACATTACTTAAAACGATCTTGAAATAAGAACGGACTATGAATACCATCCTAGATCTTTCATTCGTCCCCAAAACATAAACAAATACACGTTAAGGATGACGCGTCGCTGTGAATTGCTGGCTACGTCCGCTGTCACCCACTGTTATCAAATCCGAAACAATTTATTAATTCGTGCTAGAAAGTGTATCAAAGTCGATAGAGGAATTTTTGAATACCTTTTGTAACATATATTATAATAACGATTATTAAACAATATTTATTATGATTCATGTTTTTTTTTACTTTAATATCCTACAAATCCAAAACAGTTCGGAATCGGATATGTTTATAAATAAAAATTACTATTTATACTCTCGAAATTAAAATAATGTAGGAAATTAGGCAAATGATATATATATGTATATATATATATATACATTAGACATTTTTTACTTGTTTTTATGTGCTAAAGCAATTTAAGCCGCTATAGTAGTTTTGGCACTATATGCAGAGATACCCTGTATATGTATCTGTCGATTGTCAACTTGACTGTTATGCGCAGTTGTACTATATTTACTTTATTGAGATATTTAAATTTCATGTAATTTTGTCTAATACTTGAAAAAATAATATCCATATACGTTTATTCATGAATAAAATATTAATAATTTTATCAAAATTTTTTTAGTGATATATCTGACATAATGGTAACATTAAAATACTCTAAGATTTAGAATCTTATTGTAACTTTCTTGGCTTAATTTTAAAAGTCTAATTTGTATTTAAAAATTGAAAAATTTTTTAAAACGTCCGAAATGAAATTAATTAGAAAGTCTGAAAAATTATGAAATTTATATAATAAATCTGAAAAATTTTATGAAAAACAATACAAAAAGTTCTAAAAAAAATTTTCACTAAAGAAGAAAAAGAAAGCATGTAGCCCATTAAAAACAATTTAATAAAGATAAGAAAATTATAAAAATAAAAATTATTTGTCAAAAACGATTCAATAATAAGCAAATTATAGGAAATGACCTTATCTTTGTATAATATGTATATACACACAAATACAAATAGAAAAGTAATACTACATTTCGATTAAAGTACCATTTTTTAATCTTTTATACTTAAATTCCGATTCTGGACGTTTATTAACCCAAGCTTTCAAATCTAATTTGTTTAATATATATTCTGGGTCAATGACAGCTTCTCGAAATTTTGACGAGATCTTGTCATCCTCTACAGTCCGTCTATTTCTTTTGGATTTTTTTTTATGCTCCATACATTCCTCTTTGATTTTTGCAATAGTTAACAAATTTTTCGATGTACTTAGAAGTTTTATTCCATAGCTTTTGTCCTTTCTCTGTTTCTGTTCAGCACAATAATTAGAAATTTCATTGCTTTCCATCTCTATGGTTCTAAAATTGACATTTGTATTTGCATAAAATGTTAATTTATTAAAAACAGGCTAATATTTATACATGTACGAAATATTTATTCTATTGCTTACCGCTCCAAAATTTCATCTAGTTTTTTGGCGATAAAACTTTGAAACGTGGCAGTAACACCAAAATTTGTAAATTCATCTGTTTGTTTTGAGCTTATTTTCAAGAAATAACTTCCTTCTAATTTGTTAGTCTTTGCTTCTTTTAAAACTTTAAACAATAATTAGCACATCATAATATTTCTATGAGAGAGATTACCTAAACACACCTGATTACTTTGTAAACCTTGAAGATAAAAAAAGAAAGATATTAATTTTACTTACCAGGCTGAGGAATAGTTTTGGCTTTTTCTATGCTGTATAGATTATTGTTTAAAAATTGCTGATCAATTGCTTCCTTCAAAATATTTGCCAATTTTTCATCTTCGGAACTTGATGAGTCTACTTGCTTACTTATTTTTTTCATCATTAACTTTAATCTATATCTGTAAATTTGTAATTTGTATATAGAATCTTTATAATAATTAATGAATACGATATACATAAAACATGAGCAAATGCTAGCAATTTGCCTGCAGGTTGCAGACCTATCAACAGTATCAACATAATTTTATGGCAGAAACCGAGTAGAATCTGTCACTTTAGGATTATTGAAATAAAATGTGTCGGTATTATTTAGAATACGAACGTCACCGCGAAAATTGATAAAAGGTAAGGTAATTATCCAGAAGACGCTCCTCACCTTCAATTTTAATGAAATTATGGTCATACGACGCGTTTTTGTGTGAAACGAAAGAATCTGGCAGTTAAATGTTGTGCCTAGTCCCGCGAAGCGAGATATTTATCATTAAAGTAGACGAGATATTTAGGTTAGAAAGTCTGTCATAGTCACGAAACACTCCGATGCGAGCATGTGCTCATTGTAAAGATGGGATGGGCGCAGTGTTGCCAACCCTTTGTTCTAACTTCACCCCAGATTGAATTTGAAATCCCCCCAAATCCCCCTAAATCTTAATTTTTGTAGAAGCATAAATCGCCAAAAAGTAAATAATGATAACTATGTAATTATTTTTTTTAAATAAACCATATTTTACAATTTTATATGTTATTTATTTCCATAGTCTCGTAAAACAGGTTGATTTCGTGACAATCGTTCTGATTTTTATGATCGTACATAGATACATTAAATTTTTTTATTATTGCCTCCGTTGGCTTAAAATTAACGTATGATAGATTATCAATCTTTATAGCGTTTTCGGCCCGATCGGGTTTGCACCAACCTGGGTTGGATTAATCTTTCCTATTGGTTGATGTCACATGCTCTACCAATAGGAGAGCGCAAAACGCCATTAATCCAACCCAGGTTGGTGCAAACCCGGTCGGGCCGAAAACGCTATTAGATAGTATCTGACCATCAGTATTATCGCACCCATGATTCTTTGCTGAGATTGGACTATTCCTTTAAAACTAAAAGTATAAATCAATCAGCGCGACGAATCATAAAACGGTTGCAAAACTGCTGAGTCTGCTGAACGCAGCCAATGATTGATGAACATTTATTCCCCCCAAAAAAACCCCTAGCATTTTTGTACCCCCCTAAAATTCCCCTCGCAGCTTAAAAACCCCCTAAATTTGGGGGGAAAACCCCCAAGTTGGCAACACTGGATGGGCGGGATGGGCCGCCCATCATGGGCGGCGCCTCATCGATTATACAAAAATCGATATTTTTCCGCTCAATAATCGATGCTCGATTCGATGCCCCAGAATTCGATTTATCGGTACATCGATCTTTTTTAAATGACATCGATTATGGTTGGCTCTCATTGATCTACCAAGCGCTACAGAGCATTTGTAGCACTGATATGACTGGTCCATTTGATGCTTCGGAACGCTCCCAGCAACTCTGATTACGTCATCAATACGTCATCGTTTTTGCTCCCACTTCGCTTCAACTGCCTCACCTCGGGAGGTGGGTTGGCTGGAGCGTTCACGTAGCAATTGTAGCATTCGAAATAGTAATGGACCAATCGGAGCGTAGCGTTTGGAGCGTAACGTTAAGAGCATTTGAAAGAAGCAAGTGGACCGCAGTTCCAAAGATATAACTACCCAAGGCCGGTATTCATAGTCAGATCTTATATTCAAGACTGTCTTAAGTACGGTCTTAAAAAGTCACAAACCAATCAGAAGGCTGCATTAGCGTCTTAAGACATTACTTAAGACGATCTTGAAATAAGACTCTATTATGAATACCGGCCCAAGAGTCCTAGATTTATTAGAGACTAGAGAGGCAGTCCCTAGCAGGCATTCAAATAATTTATGAAACAATTTTCTCATTACTAGTAAATATTTTTGGTAACCAAGAAATTGCTTTCAGAAATAAAAATTATATTTTGTAAAAAGTAATCAATGTACGATTTCTAATACTCATGTCATAAATTTAAGAAAAATGTTCTCTTATTAACAACAATCAGATTCAAATAATGATATTTATTGGATTTAATAAAACAATTTTCTACTGACAAGTAATTGTGTTTTTATTAGAATAAAATATTTTCTTCGCTGATAAATTATTTGTTTCAGAATAATATTTTATTGGAACAAAAAACAAATTTATTGTGGCAAGTAATTAATTCTTTCAATCAATAAATTACAATTCAAGAAAATGTGTTTACTTGAAACAAGTAAATTTTTTTTTCTGTGGAGGTACATAAGATTGTACTCTATTTCTTCTTTTATTTTGTAATAAAAATAATTAAAAAAATTGTTTTTCGTGGGTCATAAAGTTGTACTCTATTTCTTCTTTTATTTTGATAAAAATAATTTAAAAAATTATAATTCAATATATTTATAAAAATTGATAATAAAAAAAAATAAAGTTTAGTAATCATTCTTAAAACCATCGATTTTACCAACATCGATGTTTTCATCTACGATGAATCGGTTAATTAAAAATTGGATTGCCCCATAATCGATTATTAAAGAATCTATGCTTTTCTTGTACATCGCCCATTCCTAAATTGTGCTGTTAAGGCACTATAAAGGCTTAAACACAATAGGCACAGGCATTAGGCACAGGTAACAGGGAATAACGAACCGTCCAATCAGAGCTTTGGAATATAATATTAAACTTACACACCAGAGATCTGATTGGACGGCTCGTTATTCCTGTTGCCTGTGCCTATTGCCAGTGCCTATTGTGTTTAAGCCTTCCCTTATAAAAATATTTCACCGTTTTTAGACCTCATATAGACCGTTTTTAGTTCGTTTTTAGCCCGTTCTTGCTCGTTTTTTGCACTCGCAAGCACTCGCAGTGTATCATGAAGGAACGATAGTGAGTATACACGAGTATGCAATGAATATTTTTGAGGAGATTGTCCATTTTCAATACTCGTTTTTCCACTGATGAAGGAGAAACGTATACGCGAGTATTTTTGAGTGAATCGTCCGTTTTCAGCCGATGAGTGAGAACACGTTAATACGACGTTTCTCTTTTACTCGTACATTTTTACTTATCATTTATTAATTACCATATCGTACGATTTCAAATAAATTAAAATAGAAATTATATAATAATTCATTATTTATTATTGTATATATCAGGAGACGCGGTAGTGTCTCCGGCCATGTTAAAAAAAAGTGTATATATTATTCATATATACACACACATATATACATATGTACATTAATAAATTAGTAATAATAATGAATTATTATTGTATGAATTTTATTTTTATTTTGACAATTAATTTATCAATGATTATAAATAACTGTAATATATTCACGCGCGCGCGTGTTTGTGTGCATACACATCAGAGTTCTAGTTTAATCTATCACGTCCCTTAATTATTTTTGGGATTAGGGTAATCACATTAAATATAAAATATATTTAGAAAAACGTTTAATTTGAAATGATCTTCCTAATCTGCATGCAAAAGTATTAAGATAGACTTGTCAAAATATTAATAGTTTACGAGATATATTACAGTTTATTCAGATATAAATGTTTCATGAACTATATTTTTAACAGTTGTACTTCAATATTTTTATGCACAGAATGAATTAAATCAATTGGTTAAACATTCAAAATCAAAATATGTAAAATGTTAATGTCTAATGTCTTTTTGAGGTGTGTGTGTGTTTGTGTTTATATATATATATCTGGATATATATAACATTACATACATGGATATAACTCATACACAATGTATTAAATATAATTACACTGTTAGAAATGTTTTTAAATTTCATTACATTTTAAGTTACACAATTTGAAAGTAATTTCATGACATTACATCAAATTTAATGTTTTTATAATTAAAAAGTATATTTGTGTATATATACATAAAATTTAATGTATTTTTCATGAAAATTTATGGAATTTTATGTACTTATAAAATTTTATTAAAAGTACATTAAATTTCATAAATTTAATGTACACGGTCATTACATATAAGTAACTATACTGTAACTTAATTTTCAGTTAAATCATTCATTACTAGACTGCGGAACTTTATGCAAAATACTTAACTAAATGTTTTGCATAAAATGCATAATTTGCAATTTTGTAAATTTACAGATGGCAATCTCAATCTTTTTACTTCACCTTTTAATAACTCTTTAACGAACAACGATTGACTGCTAAAACTGTCCGATAGTTAATATTCAGTTAAGTATTTTACATAAAGTCCCGCAGTCTATTCATTACTTTTAATTTCGTTCATAACCACAAGCTTCATTTACGTAAAAGAAACTCGTAGCTACATTTCTAATAGTGTACTATATAATAATTATAATCTTTCATATAAGAGATACATAAGTAAGCGAATATCGATATAGGAGTGTGGCTCAGTGGAAAAGTGGCAGCCTCATAGAGCAGACTTGTTGGAGACCAGGCCTCGGTTCGAATCTCGACAGTAGCTGATTTTCTCGTGCTATCGGTTATGCCTTACGACGAGTAATTTCGAGTGGTTAAAACGTGCAATGTGAGTGACGAGTGCTAAATGAATATTTTGCACTGGTATAAATTTTTTTACTCAAATTTACGTTTTTACCACTCAAAAATACTCGTAATGTATACATTTTTACCACTCAGATATACTCGTGTCCTGCATGAGTGCAATCCGTTTTAAACACTCATTTTTACGAAAAAGTTCCTGTTTGCGACCTAAAAACGGAGTCATACTGAGTAAAATGCACTCAAATTAACCGTTCGCGTGGGCTAAAAACGGGCTAAAAACGGTGAAAAATTTTTATAAGGGTTAAAGCTGGAAACACAATAGACACAGGCAATAGGCACTGGCAACAGGGAATAACGAGCCGTCCAATCAGAGCTTTGGGATATAACCGATGCTTAAGGTAAATCTTTGACAGTTACTCATTTGATTGCTGACTGTCGCTTTGTTGTACATACATAAGTTGTTACTAATTATGGTTGCGG